GATGTACTCATCTGGTATATAGTGTATAGATGTATGGATGTACTCATCTGGTATATAGTGTATACATGTACTCATCTGGTACGTATTGTATACATGTACTCATCTGGTATATAGTGTATAGATGTATGGATGTACTCATCTGGTATATAGTGTATAGCTGTATAGATTGCACTTTTTCCAACATGATTGGTTGGCTAGAAATGATAATGAATAAATTAGGACTGAATGTTTATTGTGTGGTTCCAGATAATTTCCACACTCCACCATGGAGAATATTTGATAAAAAGGTCCCCCACCCCTTTGGAATTTTCACTAAAGTTTCTTCTATACGAATCATTGTAATGTTAATTTTCCCCTGACCACCTACCCCTTGGGAATTTCCAATTTCCTCCATGGTAGGGTATGGATTTTTCTGGAACCACACATTCAAAGAATAAGATACACTTACCTCCCTTACCATATAAATTGGAGTTCATGAAGATCTACAGCAGCAGTATTTAGAATATGATTTTTAAAATATCCAATTTTTTTCCCAGATTCCGAAATGCTAAGAGAGGCAATAAAAGTCAGCAAAAGGTGAAAACTAAAATCATGGCTGCACATTACGTTACCGGAGCAAAGACAGATGAAATTTTTACCAATCTGACAGTATATTATGCAGATAAAAAACAAGAGAAAAAAGAGCAAGCAAAAGACCTGGGTAGAAGTGAACTGCTTCAGGGATACACCAAAAGAACGATGGATCGTAAAGTTGAAAAATACGAAAATGTTTTTAATGACATGAAAGGAGAAAATCCAAAATTACTTCTTATCGGTAAAGCCGGGATAGGTAAAACCTTTCTCTGTGAGAAAGTCATACGAGATTGGTCTATGAATAGAATATTTCAAAACGAAAACACTCCTAATATTCAGTTCGCCTACCTGTTGAAGTTCCGTCAGCTCAGTAAACAGGGCGACAAAGAGATTAATTTACAAGAACTACTGAATTGTTCGCCCCTTCTTGACGACAATTCAGTCATTGACGATTCATTATTTGAACATTTGATTCAAAATCCCTCCAAGGTACTGATCATCTTGGACGGGTTTGATGAATGTTCAGAACAGCACCGTAAACAAATCGCTAGCGATTTTGAGAAAAAATATCCAAATGATTCCAAAAAAGAAATGCCAATCCCTGCACTTTGTTCTAAATTGATTAGAGGAAAGCTTTTAAGAAATGCTGTTGTTCTGGTATCTTCAAGGCCAGGCAAGGCTGAGGAGTTGGGGAAAATCAAATTTGGCCGATACGTAGAAATCTCGGGCTTTTCACCTGAACAAGTCATCGAGTATGTTGACAAATATTTCGGTGGACCAGGAAAAGAACAAACAAGAAACGGTACGTGAAGACGTATAATATAAAACAAGGGAGCAAGGCAGAATGATTTCTGTCTATTTTTAGCGCGTTTTTAATTCCTTTCGTACCTTTTAGCCGCCATCTTGGAATTTTCAAACGATAACCGCTGGTAAATAAACATGCGGGCGCTCCTATCTCCCCGATCGAGGACAAGGAACGAAAAGCGCACGAAGCGTTGTAAGTGTTGACGAGTACCGAATGATGAGGGTGGACTTTCCTCCATCCCTTTCCAAGAAAAAAAATTCCAAGATGGCGGCTGAAAGGTACGAAAGCGCTAAAAATAGACAGAAATCATTGTGCCGTGCATCCTACGTACAAGAATACAGTTGAATAAAAAGTGTTATTGTAGGCAGGACATGCCCTTTCAAGGAAGCCAAGAACTTGAAACATTTCAAAGGGAAATGTCAAAATTTTGAGAAAAATCGAAATCATGACTTTATCAAGACCTGAAATGTACCGTCCCTTAATATATGCACATCTGTCATGCTCCTTTGTCATTGTAAAAAGATCCTACATTGCGATCGTCCAGAACACCAGATAATTTGACAAGTGATGACAAAATGGAAGGCTCAGGGTGTTTTGGTCAACACCATCGTGGCTCCCTGCAGCTTCCGGCTCCAAACAAAGAAATGCATTTTTCTCGAATTTTTTTTCCGCTAAGGCCTCAACTTCAAAAAGCTAAAAAGTCCCTTGGATTTCAATCGATTTTTCTAAAATTTCGAGAGTTTATAAAGTAACTCATGATCCAAAAAAGGGTGTCTCCGAATTTTGAAATTTAATTTCTTTCCAAAGTTATGACGCTTTTTACTCTAAACAACACTTCAAAAGCGATCGCTGAACTTTGTTAAAAAATAGCAAGAGATAGAAAACAGATATCGAAAATCTGGGTTATACTTTAAAGCCAGCGCGTTATTTAAGTTTGCGCGCATAGTGGTCGTAAACGTATCCTAATACCTTAAGGTATTCAATGTCTTGACACTTTTAATAAAGTTTATCTATCTATCTATCTACCTATCTATCTATCTATGTCTGTAAAAACTCCAACCTTGGGATTTACAATTCTGGGGTGTGGAGGCGGGGGATAAATAATACTTGCATGTTTTTCTTTTCTTTCTTTATTTTATCCCCTTCTCCCCAAAAAGATGACCTATTTTGTGTAGCGCACACGAAGCGTCAATCAACCATAGAAGGTGTCTGTTTGCATGTTGCTGAAACTCTTGTGGTTGTTATTACTGGTGTGATGGTATGATTCGAGCAGCTAGGGGCTTTGGGCGGAGACAGCGTGAGGAAAAGAGCGGATGATGAGAGGAAGTAATGATAATGATCGCTAATCTTATAAATCTATTTTCCTTGTAGATGATACCATACCTAGTGAAATTCGCGCCCGCGGTCCAGAAGCACTGAAAGCGTATGAAGAAGCCCTTGAAAGTGGAAAAACAAAAAATCGGCGTTTACTTATTATGGTAGTGGGACCGGCGCGCGCAGGAAAGACGAGCTTACTGAAATCATTAAACGGTAAACTACTCATAACTATATGAAACATGAAATAAATAAGTGTTTGTAGATAGAGTGAAGTCATTAAACCCGTGAAATAGATATTAGACTAATACACATTAGTAGACCCTAATTCCATTGTTTTCTTTTGTGTCTATTTGAATATTACACGTTGACTAATAATTTTTATTTCACGGGTCAAATGCCTTCACTCGAAGATAATAAGATAATAAATAAGTCAGTTGGTTAAGTCAGTTAGTTAATAAGTAATTTTGAGTCAAAAATGTGAAATCGGAATAAAATTGTCAACAACACAAAATGTTGGATACTTGAATGTAATCAATGTTACTTTTGTTCAATTACATTTTAAAGGAGAAAAGTATGACCCAAAAGAAGACAGCACTGATGGGATTCAGCTGCAGCGCACATTTTGCAAGTCACAAGAAAACTGTTGGAGTAAGGAAAGTACCAAAGGAATCTCATACGCGGACTGCATGGCCGACATTATTCATAAAAATCTTCAAGGCGGAGATGACAGCGAAGAAATACACGATAAGAACTTTGCTAAAGCCAGACTGAAGGAGTCCACAGAAAAGTCGGTAGAATCCAGTGAAAGTCTCTCAAAGAATGATGACGATGATCGCGACGAGGATCACGATAATGATGATGACGCAGTTGAAGATGATGACGTGGATGAAGATGATGAAGCGGATGATGATGATGACGCGCATGGTAATGATGATGACAAAATGAATGCGATTAAAGTCGAGTCTGAAGAAATGAATGAAGAAGCTAACGAAGAGCGGGAAAACCAAGAATATATAAGCGAGAAAAGTGCCGCAAATCTCCCAAAACCTATTGAAGAAAAATTAATCAAGTTAATGGGTTCCAAAATGAGTGATAAGACGAACCGAGAGAATGAAGTGTATATTAAATCGCTAGACTTTGCTGGTCAGGCTGTCTACAATGTCATCCATCCCATATTTCTAACTTCAAAAGCAGTTTTCATTCTAGTTTATAATTTGAAAAATGTTCCACATGATCTCATGAAATCCATAGTCCAGGAAGATGGCGCAGAAAGAGAACTCGTAGATCCCTTTGAGATGACAAACATGGAAAATCTGGAGTTATGGTTGTCCTGCATTTCTTCCTATACGGATATACAGAGAATGGCAAAAATAGACGAATTGTCATTGCCTCCTGTTTTCCTAGCCGGGACTCACGCAGACAGATTTGACGGTAATCTTGAAGCTGCAAGAAAGATCATCCGAGAAATATACAAATCTCTAAGTCCAAGCAAAAACCCATCTGGCAGTCATGTTGTGAGGAACGAAATCTACACCGTGAATAACAGCGTATCTGGTAATGGAGAAATAAACGATGAGGTCGTCAGAAAACTCAAGGCAGATGTTGAGGATTTGTCAAAGTCTCTTCCACATATGAATGAAGATATTCCTATCAACTGGCTGTGGTTTGAAGAAGAGCTGTCAAACCTTGTAGAGAATGAAAACAAGAAATACATTACAATCGATGAAGCTTTGAAGATAGTCAATGAGTGTAAGGTGAACACAAGTGCCGAATCCAAAGAGTTCTTCACGTTGTTAAACTATTTGCACGACTCGAAGACTGTTATTTACTTTGAGGAAACTAAGAAAGTATTCATTGATACGGAATGGCTGGTCAAAGTGTTTACAAAGGTCATCGAGGTCAGGCCGGTTGAGAAACGAGATGGCTTTGACGAGTCCTGGGATAAACTGGAAGAGAAAGGTGTCTTGGACAGAGCCTTGGTGGAACACGTATGGAAAGGCTTAGTTGATGAACGAAACACAATTGATTCTCTCCTTTTAATTATGGAGAAGTTCTCACTTATTTGTCGTTGGAATACTAGCGAAGGAGAAGAAGTGTACCTTGTTCCATGCATGTTGTGTAACAGCGAGAAGCGAGAAGACATCGCGAAGTGTCTAGAACATGAGAAGTCGTCAACAATGGTCATTCGTTTTAATACTTCCCATGTATCGCTAGGTATATTTCCTAGGCTTTTTGTGGCCATTGCTGAAGAATTAAAGAAAATATGGCCAAATCTAGAAAAACCAGAACTTCACAAAAATTTCTGCAGGTATCAATGTTAATACACAATATTTCAGTTTACCCTATAGAAAGATGTTATTTTTCCAAAACTTACCTTATATTATGCTTCTTCCTACATTTCCTTTTTACATTTCCTTAAACTCCGTCTCTTCTCCCCCCGCCCTCTCTCTCTCTCCCTCTCTCAGATGAAGACACTCAGTGAAATAATTAAGTTTTTTCCCCCTAAGATTTTCAGCATTTTAGTATTAGGGCTACCTATTTTCAGTTTTCTCTCTCTCCTTCTCTCCTTCACTCTATCTAAGTTTAAAATCTCTCATGCGCTGTAGTCCAGTGAAATAATTAAGTTTCTCTTTTCATAGGATTTTCGAGATTGGCAAAGAAAGAAACCTTGATATTTGTATCATTCAGTCAAGCTTTCAAACAATCTGTGTAACAGTCTGCAACATACAGAACATCGATGGGCAACAAGTCACTGAGTTTTGCCAGGACTTTCGTAAATTGCTTGATCAAATCTTTGATGAGATGTGGCGAAACTTTCCTTGGATGCAAAACATGACATTCGAGTATGGAATACTCTGTCCTGTTTGTACAACCTCGTCAAACAAATGTAAGTCTCACGGTATGGAGGGATGCACCCAGGATACGTGCCTTCACTTTGTGAACGAAAAAGAGTTGAGCGTTGATACACCGAAGTGCAAGAAGTACGTTGCAAATCTAGATAACGTGATTGAGGAGAAGGCATATGTATACTGGTTCCCAAGACAAGTAAGTGATCCATCTTATCATTCAAATTATTTTTCCTGTGGTTTGGAATGGCCGAGACAACAGCAGATAACTACCTACAAATAGGATTCTGCTCATGCGCATTTTGATGTAATGCCGTTTGTAAGAGACCTTCGCTGTTTTCCTCTGAAAAAAACTTGAAGCACTTCATTAAGTTTTTTTGGCGTAACAAGGGTCAGATCTATGTGTGAATACCACTCAATTCTAAATATCATCTGACCGCTTTCAATAAATAGCTAAAACCATTATTTTATACCCAATCAAGGGTCAAACTTCTCTTCTATCAATTTATAAACATATAGTTTTCATATCTTTTTCCTATTCTGCATGCGTTAGTTTTTTGACCTGTTTGATTCAACTGAAAATTTGCATACTTTTGAGATCGCCGCTGGGCCAACAGTTTTTCTCGGATTTCTCAGAATTTTAGCGCGGGTTTTGAAAAACTAACTACACCACATTTGCTTACTCGGTAATGCCTTCCAGCAAACCACAAATGAGCAAAATAAAAATTTTGGCTGTGACCGGTCGATGCTCGACATTAGTGGACATCTGCTCTTAAATTACTGTTCATCCAGTTTTATTGCTATGAAATTCAGTTGAATTCACTGCTAAGAAAAATATCAACAAACAAATTTCATGGCCATATGAAGGTATGGAACATCTCTTCGATAAGAGATCTATTTAATAATGTATCGTAGTTTATCAACTGTTTATATCTCTCTACATTTGTAGGCTCACCAACTGCAAGTTGAAAAATTTGGAAGATGTGGAAATTTTGCCTCGAATCATAAATATCAGGTGCCTGTTACAGATTTGCAAGAAACTCTCAACGGAATGAAACCATCTATTGGTGCAATAATTGCTATAAATATTAGTAATGTGCCAGCGTGCGGGGCAACTTGTTTCAGAATTGGAACCAAGTATGTTATTACAAACAAGCATGTCATTGATGACTTATGTAAATCGGGTATCCAATCATGGAGTAGCTGTTACGTTGACTTTAACTATAACGAACGAGGTCAACCTGGCTATCGTGTTGATTTCGCACCTAACCCCGTATCGTTCATCTGTGAAGAGCTGGACTATGTCATTCTCGAGATGTGCTCAAAAAATGGTAATCGTTTACCTCCGAGTGTAACTGACCTAGGTTATAATATTGCCCCACCTGGTCACCAGCTTAAAAGTGGAGAATATTTAACGTTTATTGGGCACCCTGGAGAACGTAGAAAGCAAATAGATGTCACCTGTCCAATCAAGCTTCAACAAGATATTCAAAAAGATCTACATAAATATGATGCTAGCACCGTAAGCCTGATACTAGAGGCCTGCAATCATCCAGATCATGCTACCTACGATGTAAGCACTTTCTTCGAAGGGGCTTCTGGATCTCCTGGGATTTTGATGGAGAAAAAGCTATTGGTGGTTCTCCACAAAGGGGGATTTGAAAATCGCGCATTAGAATTTGGCATTTTAATGTCGTCTGTTGTCAAAGATGTTATGACAAAGATAGGAAATGCTCCAATTCAAAACGCGCTGGATGACATTTTTGGTGGTTCGACTTCCTCAATATTTGACCAGCGCTCCTTGGTACCCCTTTCAGAATCCGAGCGGAACACCCCTACCCAAATTCTGGGGGAGTACCCTACCCCCCCCGGGGGTATGACATGCCGTAACATTGAAAATCTTAACGCGTAGTTACGTGCGTATGGGATGTCACAGAAATGTCTTGATTGACATCCACCATAAACCTACTTCTTCGTGAATGACTATAACAGTATATTATTAGACACCTATTGTAAATTGATAATTGCATTGTTCATATACGCTCGGACAACCAGGTAAAGTGAAGGCAGTCTCAATCATAGATTGTCCATGCAAGCGACGTGTATGGTCGCTTTATTATAGGTGACACTTGCTTGATATCAATATAGATATTAACTATGAATATCTGTATTATCTATTTAAATCAAACGCTGGACATTTTATTATAGAGCAGTTACGCTATGGAATAAGCTAGACCAATCAATTAAATTACGGTGGCTGCCTACTTTTGAACGTTCGCTTTGAGCCCACGATGTGCGCGCGCTCAAAAACCGCTGAAAAATCTACAAGATTTTATTGAAGAACCATACGCGTTTTGAGCTTCAACAGGGCAAAACCCTCAAATTTTGCACGGGACTCTCTATTTTTTAATAGCTCATCCGAAAAAAACTCCTAAAAATCTAGGTTATATCAACATTTTAGAAAAAGTTTAAATCAGTAACACATGAAAAAATAGATTTTTGTAGGGATTTTTGTTTGACTTTATGAGATTTTTTAAGAGCTCCGAAACTACAAATGATGACAAATCAATGTATCTCTTTGTCTTTTTGTCAAAAATATCCATGTATTATTGTAGAATGATTGACTAGCCTTCATTCGTGCAATCATATAGTCTGCAAATAACTATTATCTTATGAATCTTAATTTTTTTCTAATCACTTCCGGTGGCGCAATTTTTATTCCAAAATCTCGTGCGTATGCTTCTATTAAATGATGATTATCTCGAAAACGAGCTCGGGACACCCTATTTTTCTTTCCAGATTTGGAATSAGYATTAAATTTCAATTCGGAAAATCGAAGTTTTAAAAAAAGCTTAAATCAATTTCTAAAAGTAGGCAGTCACCTTAAGTAAGGATGTTAAAAGTTTTAAGAGTAAGTTAAGAGCGAATCTTCTTCGTAGATTTAGGAATTCATGATTAAATTCTTCAATTAAATTCTTAGCTAGGTTCATATATTTATTTTACAGAATAATAAGCCTTTTCATAGTTTAAGAATCGATTCCACTGCGCATGCGATTTTATCCCAAAATTCTCACCTTTTGTCTGAACCTTTTGTTCTTAATTAAACAAAAGAAGGTGAGAAATTCGGGATAAAATCGCATGCGCAGTGGAATCGATTCTCAAACCACGAAAAGGCTTATTGATCATTCAGTTTATATTACTTTACTTTTAGTCTTATTTTATATATTTATATATTTTATATTTTTTTAACTCTAGCTAGCCTACTAGCCATGTAACAACTATGTATTGATGAGGTTCATAGATATCACCAGCATTTATAAAGTAAAAGTAAAAATATCACATGTACATTATTATCGATGAATACATTGATACTGTTGAGAATTGTTGCCACAGATCTAGAGTTGTGTTTGAGGTATTATCAGAATATTTTTCATGTGTGCCAGAATAGCAGACTTTTTTCATTTGAGAAACCTAAAAAAGGGTTTGCAATGTTTGTAAAAATAAAAAATATCATCATTAGAAACTGAAACTATTTTCAAGAACGTTAACTAAGCAATTATGATAGTGTTAATGTTCTTAGATGTTAAGTTGAATAAGTAACAACAGATAAACCTACTGATCAGGGGCGACAGACTGAAATATTTACCGAGGCAATCGACCGCCCGGGGGGGGGGGGGGGGTACTCCCCTATATTTGCTATACGGGTATGTGCCGCCCTATAGGGTACGGTTTTTCAGCTTTTGGGTCTGGGGTAGGGTATCATTTTCTGACATTTTGTCTGCGATAGGGTATCATTTTTGTCTGGGATAGGGTTAGGATTTGGTCGTTTTTGTCTGGTGAATAGCCTACGCTTTCTGACGGCACAAAAACAATAAAAACGTTAGTAAATATTGATGGCAATCTATTGACTAACCGGGTTTAGTCTGGGATAGGGGGTACAACTCTTAGTTTTAGTCTGGGGTAGGGTGTGTAAAATCAAAATTTTAGGTCTGGGATAGGGTCAGGGTTTTGAGGTCCTGGCGGCACA